AATACCAAAATGGCGGATGTAAAGTTAGAACACGTGCGGGAGCACTGGGTCGCTCAGTATGCTAGGTTATGGAGAGAGGGTCGGAATTCTTTTTAGTATGGTCGGTCCCCGATAGCGTCGGAAGGTTGGTAAGGTAGGGTGATCGATAGCAGGTCAGGTCGATAGAGGCGAGAGTGATCGGCAATTAGATAGCGGTAGAACGCCGATAGCTGCCGATATGTGCTAGCATCGCGAGAGCTCTAGGTATAGGTATACCTTCTATTATATTCCGTTAGCTCAGCCTCATGGCTGTAAGAGCGATAGCGATAGGTAAAGCTATATGGCGGGCTATATAGCCACACTAATCATCGAGAGCTACGGGCTGTCACAGCCCGGGGCCGAGTGGCCCGTGAGAGTGCCGGAGCAACTCTGACGTGTGGAGTGGAGAGTGCTCCCTAGTAGCTCTGCTCCCCACTCCCGACTCACGCGGTTGGAGTGCGTGGGGGATCACCCGTGGTACTTATCACCACCGCGAGGATATCCCTGCCGGTAACGTTTCCTGGAGCGCGCCGAATTGAAATGTCCCCAACCAGGCCGTCCAGGTAACCCCTTATCTAGACCCCTGGCCATTTGAATGCCCGCCCCATCTAACATGGAACAGTTCTCTAGAGTGGAGAACCCAGTGTTCCGACAGAGGAGTCTCATTGGAAGCTGAGATTCAGTACTATAACGTCAACTTCCCACGCGTGGGGATTTGGCGGACCCAATCGGTATATCAGAGAGCGTAATTTATTCCAATAAATATTTTAAATTATTATTAACGCGAAAAATCGCGTTACAATGTGCAGAGTAATCTGATAGGATGTCCAAGACTGTAATTATTTTATCAATAATTTATCATTGTTCATCTTGCAGGTCATATGTACTTTTTGTTTACAGATTTTATTTACATTCGAAACACTTCAATAAGCCCGGTTCCATATTCCTTTAAAGCGCACTGTACAACTCATTCCTTCATCAGTGAATATACACACGTATAGTTTGTTTATTACATGACTGTAGAACTCAAATAGTAGATGATTCAACTGTTTATATACGAGACGTCTAATTGCATCGAGGTAATATAGAATAATACAGGAAAAGGGTATCAGGGATTAACCATTTTCTCCTGACGGAATGAGAGAGTAAAGGAACATGATATAGATAATGTACATAGAGGAAATACGATTCTTTTTTATTCCTAGCCCCCCCCCGCAGTGGTTTGGGTGCGATTTTCAAGTTCTCGTCGGACAATACATTGCACGTAATCGGTGTCATTTAAAAGCTTACACATTAATCTTTCGCATGATGCTATTTTTGGTAAATTATTTGTCCGGATTTTGAATTATGGACACTTACATGTGAAAAACAAATCTAATTCTTAAGCATGTGACCTAGGTAGGAAAACGTCAGATCCGGCTTGGGTTCGTAGGTAAACGTCAGCTAGTTGCCCGATCGGGTGCCGGTAGGTTTGTTCGGATAAGGACCCGACGAGGTTCTTTTAGTTCGCCGGTATATATTGCCTATCGATGCATTATCATTGCCTAATTAAAATTTATTTTAGTTAGAATAATATTTCCTGAGTACTACCAAAATAATTTTACCGCCAGTACATTTCATCTTAAATAATTATTGCATTAATCAATCACATAATCAATCATAACATATATTAAACATATTTTCGCTAAGTGGCGGGGATCATAAAAAATATATCGATATTGGCTTAGTGAATATTTATTGCACATTATATGCACTTCTCGGGTCTCTCTAAACCACTTGAGTGGGGTGCGGAGAGCGCGGTTGAGCCACCAACCGAGCGCGTCTCCGGGTGGTGGATAGTAGGACGGCCGGGCGGAATAACCACCTCGGCGGAGGCCGGGACAGAAATGTCTCGAACTCTGCGTGGGGTTGGCTAAAAACCGGGTTATTGGGGAACATAAGGCCGAACGAAACGTGGGAAACCACAAGGGAAGCCGAAAAACCCATCGCGAACCAGCTCCTCCAAGCTACGGTGTATGATACCGTGCCAATGGCTGCATGGTGCAGGAGAAGTTGCATCCCAAACGGTTCCCTCGGATACCAGGCGACCCCCGAGCGTAAGCAGCCAAGCCCCAGGCATACACGGCTCTGCCTGGGTGATACCGCACTACCGTGGTACTCGTGGGACTTATATGGAGACCCGAATACAAAAAGAAACACAAAAACCACCTGGGACGGAGGAACCCCAGGGCCAGAATGCTGGACCTGGTGGAGAACAACCCAGGGGGAAAAGACTAAGTGGCGCGGCAAAGCGCCGGTTCCAGAAGGAGAGAAGGGCTAACCCAGCCTCAAGCACTCCTTCTGGGACAAACAAGGGTGAGGGTGGGGGCGAGAGAGTGTCAAGGGGAGCAGCCGTGAAACAACTGAAATCCGATGGCACCCCAAGCCCCCACAACAACACGCGACCTGAGAAAAGGCCCAAGACTGATCTTGGCAGCTACGCTCAGGTCGCAAAGAAAATGATCAGGTGGGCTCTCGTCCGAGAGAACTACCCAGATCGAAAAATCACACCCGAAGAAATCAAGGGCCTGAAGGGACTGCTTAGGTCCCAGATCCTCTCCTTTGCAGAGGGGACTAAGGCACCGACTTTTGAGGGGGTGTGGGAAAGGGACGGGGCAGCCATTGTCGGCTGCACCGACGAAGAAACGGGGAACTGGCTGAAAGGACTGTTCCCCGAAAACAAAATCGGGGACCTTGTCCTCGCGGTGATGCCACCGGAGGAGCTACCCAAGCGACACCGGGTGGTAGTTCACCTTGGGGACGAGGATGTCACCGCCCAGGAGGCAATCGAGCTCATCGGACGGCAGAACCCCGACCTTAAAGGTGACTGGGTCCTGATTAGAGGCAGCGAAACAAGGGGAGCCACAGGCACCCACTTTGCTGCCCTGATCAGGGATCAAACCCTGCGGGCCCTAGAGGCTTGCAATTTTAAACCTCACTGTGGGACTCAAAGAGCAACTATCAAGTTGCTCGAGAAGAACCGACATGAGGAAAAGGACAAGCCTATTGACGGGTGAACCTAGAAATGGCTCATAAGTCGACAGAGATAGTCCAGAATAATCTGCATCACAGTAAAAGCGCCTCAGCAGTTCTCTGCAAGACGCTAGCTGGGGTGCAGACAGCCATAGCCCTAATTCAAGAACCATGGTTCGTGAACGGGGTGGTAAAGGGCCTGGGGGGGTGTGGAAAAATTTTTCACTCGAACACCCAAGGAAAGAAGATTAGGACCTGTGTGTTAGTAAAAGGCGCACAAGC